CTGATGTTTTACCGAACGTCCCTCATTGTCAGCACGTGCATCCAGCGATTCTTGAATATGAGAATTTCAGTAAAGAAAACTGACGGAAAAGGGCTTACCTGCATGATACTGTGCAATGGAAGAATTTGGATGTATGAGACTGAACGGCTTCATCCGAGTATGAACGAAAAGTTCTTGACCGTGCTACAATGTTGTGAGTTATGATTTTAAAACTCAACAAAATCCGCATCTAGAGGTCTCTTTAAACAAGAATGACTTTTCAGATAAACCATAAATGTAAGACAACTTATATGAGACCTTACTGATAATATTTTAAACTAGAAAACAACGAAAATAAGTCGATCATCGATAAAATCGGCATGACCTAGATTCCCCAGAATTTTTGACACTTGTTTTGGGAAGATTCTCTTAATATTCTTTTTACTAATGTTACATGTAATTTCAATCTCATAGCGATAACAACGATGCTAAGAAAATTATAAGCCAAACCTGATACTTGTTCATTGGATCAGGGACAGTATACTGTGGATATAGACCAGCTGCAATGACCACTCTTATCAGCTAAAACCGGATTTAATATACAGTTTGAATAGAAAATGAAAACCGAATTATGTATATATAACCCACTTCTGCATCCTTCCGTCTGAATTTATGGGTGCGACGAATAAGCTCCACATCTCTTTGTTTGTAACTTAAAAGGAACTCAACGGTTTTCACATCAGCTTTCATAGGGTCCTCTTCGTTTTCTAAAGGCTATTGCAGATACGTCTTAGCATAAACAAATGAAGAAATTTTACCTAAATCTTCTTCTTCTTTTTCATTAAGAATCGAGTCAAAGTGCTTATCGGCTCGCAAGACTTTTCGCGTTTTCTCCATATTCCTTAATTATTTTGTATAAGTGATGTAGTCCCCCCTTTAGTGGTTGATTCATAGATACCTAGCTTCACGCTTCATATCTAACAGTTTCTTTCTGTCTCCTTGATCAATTCGACGTTGCCTAGAATCGTCCTGTCCTAGCTCATGTGCATCAGGTTTGTCGATAAGTCCAGCATCTTCCAGGATTTGTCTGATCAGCAAGTCTTTATACGCGGTTGCAACCATATTGTTGTAACGCAGATTACATACCTATACTGGGCGCGTAGCTTACTAATCTCGTACATTCTGTGCTCATCAATGCCGTTTTCCAGAGCCCATCGCCGGACCTTACCACCGGTAGACTTTTGCAAAACCCATTCTCTAAACTCTTTTCGCATGATCCATTGCACCTTCTGATCCTTGAGCTATCTTCTGTAAAGGCACAAACGGCACCGATAATGATGAGATAAACAGACCTAAAGACTTCAATGAGCGTAAATGGATCTCCCATGGAACTTGTCAGACGCGTTCTTCGCTCAACCACGTCCAGTTCTCTAAAGGTTTTGAAATGAGTGAATTAGCACAGGGTGATGGGTGGAGGAAGAATTTAAAGCTACAATTTTGTTGGGATATGCAAAGCGCAGGGATGAAGGTCCAATTTCAGCAAAAGTACTAATACCTGTAAGAACGGTTGGTAAAAGGACTTTGAACAGAAAGACCAGCAGCAACAGTCAACATCACTTCCACATGGTTGACCACGCATCCGTAAACGAGCATCTACACCGAAAAAAAGTATTCATGTTTTGACGTCATTGCAGAAGATGAAACTTTATCACCTTTGCTATAGGAACGTCAACAGGAAGTTTTGCAATGGCATTACCCAAAGCAGTAAGCTGATTATCGCGGTCGGGATAAAGCACTCCCTACACATTTAAAACGATTATTCATTTCATTGCACTACCTGAAAAAAAACCTGAAATTTTAGAAGATCCAACGCGTCATTGAGCTTCTCTGGTTCAGGGC